GTTTCCACTTGATGAGTAAAGCAATCTACTCATCTGATTACCTTATATTAAAAACAAATATGTATGTATAAAAGATAAGCATAGAAGCTTACCACCTACATTCTCTCTTTCAATAAACCCCACACCAGGTCCTCCACGCATCAGAGGCCTGTGGTCTGCTAACGTCACTGGAACATCCATGTCTGTCCGCTGGTCAACCACTGCTCAAATCAACCAGACTTTCCAGATCACTTTAAGCAAATCTTCAGAGGTCAGTGAGATGTGGGAAACCAGCATGATGATGATAGAGATCAGAGGACTACAGCCTGGGGTGCTCTACAATGTGACTGTGACACCTTGTGCTTGTGGAAGGAGAGGATCTACTGTCCATATAATGATCAAAACTGGTAAGAACAGCATAATGGACTCCTGAAATACAAACAATTAAATGTTTTTATTGAAATCTAATGGAAGCCTTTGAAAGCTAGAAAAATAAGTAGTTATTTTAAGCTATGATGTTGGCTAAGAATGGAAACATAACTTTTAAATCAATCCAGTTTGTCCCAGTCCTTTTTGGACACCTCTATGCAATGATATTAAGATGGGTTTTAACCCCAATGTCTTTGGTGAGCGTGAAAAAACGAGTTCCTCTGACAAAGAAGTCTTTTTGTTGTAGATGCTCAGACACTGGATGCCACAACACGACTTACCAACATCGAGTTCAGCGAAGACCTGACAAACAGCAGCAGCCAGGCCTACAAAGACCTAACTGTGACGTTTATACAAGAGGTAGGTGTGCTTAAATGTCATCTTTAAATATATATTTCCTGTCAGGAATTTACATCATCAGTGTGAATGTCACGATAATTTAACCATCCTATCACCAACGTTTTCTTTGCAGGTTGTTGGGTTCCTATTTTTTTTTAAAAACAGTATATCAACAACAAAGGGTGAGAAGGAGAAATACACTGCTGATCTAATTGCAAGACTAGAATCAATCATTTTTGCATGAGGAGAGTATTATCTTAAGCCTGGCATTTGAGTTCATACATGCGTGAATCAGCTCTTCAAAAACTGAAGAAGATTTACCAAAACCCTCCAAATCTAGATAGTAAATCTCAGCTGCCAGAAGCACCATAATTCAATTCAATCACTTCAAATAGCTTTTTACCTGTTGCTAATGTTTCTAGAATACTGGGGTGAAATATGCATCATGTTGGGGGAGTTGGCCTTTTCAGAAGCAACTTTTTTGTTTTGTTTATTTCCCTCTCCATCCTTTCGTAGTTGTTTTTATTGAGTTTAAGACCAGATGAGTATGGAGCACGATCCTACAGAGGGATGAAGATGACCTCTGTTAAAAAGGCATCATGACTTTCAGCTTTGTTTGAGTAAAAGTTTTTGCTTAACAAAAGCAGACCTTCAATCTGAGAGGATGCTGCCTCACCATCTTATCTGTTTCAAATCTTCAGTTACATTAAGGTTTAGACTTTGACTAGACTGTTCTAACACATGGAAATGTTTCAATGAAAACAATTTAATTTGAGCTTTAGTAAACTTAGGCTTGGAGAATGTTAAAGGTACTCCACTTTAAAAATAAAGGCGCATATGAGAGCATGCACAAGCCCATTTCTCCACTGTCTCATAGCTCATACAATCTTACTGTGTCCACATACAGTGGGGACTATACAGTGGACTCTATAGCAAACTCAGTTAACTGACCGTTCGGACAGATGATCACTGCTTTCCCCCCCCCGTTAGTCATGTAACTCCTCCTCCACCGCACGGTGCCTGTGCCATCTCTGTTATGAGTCGCTGCTGTCGGGTAGCGACAGCCTATGGCGACAGTGTGCCGCTGTGACAGCTAATCCCATAAGGCTTTACGAGGAGAGCTCTCCGCACAAATCATTCTGGGATATATCTGCCTCTTCTGAGGCCTTTCTTTTCTTGTCATACACTTCGTAGACACTTTCTCTTATGACCCTCCGCCATTTTCAAAGAGCCACGGTGAGAAAGGTGAGCTTCAATGACTGTCCGTAAATCAACCACAGAAAAACGCTAATGTGATGAGCATGTAGGACGGCCTTACGTAAACATATCACCTGAATGATTGACAATTAGGAGGACCACTTATTTAGATGATCCACCCAGAAATGAAAGATCGACCTCTATACCTTTAACTACTGCTCATTATCAAGTCCTTGTGCTGCCCTGGTCCCTGTTTTTTCTTTTCTTTTTTCTTTTAGGACCGTCATGTATTTATCTCTAGCCATCTTCCAAACATCTTTCAAAGACTGTCCTGTCACCCGAGATGTGGATCTTAAATTCCTCTCAATAATTGCTCTGGGTTTTCTCTTCACTAAAGCTCTCCTTGCTCAGCCTGTTGGTTTAGGTGGACGGCAATATGTTAGCACGTTCACATCCCTGCAAACCCTCTCCCTGCCTTTTCTGTTGTGTTGCTCGGTCTTCTGTTTTCCACGGAAGTTCTGTCATAAACCCTCTTCATCAGTTAGGTGGATTTTCCAGCAGGAAACTGATCAAAAATAAGAGCAACCAATAGGAAACCTGTCAATAAGCAGAATCCAGCTCGGTTCTATCAAATGTTATGTAATTATATGGATTTGATTGTGAATATTATTAATAATTTTATATAAAAATTATTATTAATAATGCGTTATTTTAATAACAAACATATCTTAGATGCTTGTGATTAACTCTACCTGCAGTTAGACTTATACTTAGACAACATTTATTGTCATTTTGTATACACAGAGTGTATACAAAATGAAATTTCATTTAGTACAGCTTTTCAGAACATTTCCATTCCATAAAGTGCAGCAGTGATCAAATGTAAACAGTGTCGAAGGAGAGACATGGCGCAAAAAAACACATTGATATGGAAGTTCAGAGCATTAGATATATATGGTGCAAATATTCAGTCTTTTGGTTTTGTGTTGTCAGTTTGATGCAGAGTCTGACATGATTTAGAGTTTTTTTCAACATTCAGCTGTATGATGGTGGTGGGAAGAAGCTGTTGCAGAATCTGCTGGACCTGCATTAAATGCTGCAAAGCCTCTTCCCAGAGGGCAGCAGGGAGATCAGTCCATGGTGGGGGTGTGAGGGGTCATTTATGATGTTACGGGCTTGGATGAAATATTCAGAACACTCACTATGGTTCTTCTGTAGAAGGTGGTGAGGATGGGTGGGGGCAGATGGGCTCTCCTCATCCTCCACAGGAAGTGCATGCACTTTTGTGCCTCTTTGACCAGTGAGGTGGTGTTTACAGTCCAGTTGAAGGTGTCTGTGACGTGCACCCTCAAGAAAGTGCTGCTAACCACTTCTACAGCTAAGTTATTGTTTATAATTAACAATTTGTCCGTCTTGTAGAGTGAAATACTCTTATTCCTGATTTAGCACTTTTAAAGGTTCTCTTTTAAAGTGTGTTTAAATATAAAGCATGAGTCATCATTTTTTATATGGAAACGTTTTGTCTGTTTCTGAACTCACTAACAGATCTACCAGTCTCTGGCTCCAGAGTTCAAAGCTATGGTGGATTCAGGTCAGGTGAGGATTGAGATCCAAAGCTTCTCCCCAGGCAGTGTGGTTGTGAACTTCTCCATAATCTTCAACCAAAGTCCAGACCAGGCCTCAGGCAACGTGTCCTCCGCCATCATGCTTTCCCTGATGAACAGCTCCAGATTCATTCTGGATGTAAATAACACACGCATTCATGGTATGTCTGTTTTATCTTTTAAAAAGCGGCACGCTAATATTTAAGAGGAACAAAAACCATATAAAGCATATAAAATGGATTTCCATCTTAATAACATATTCTTCCTTCCTTCCTTCCTTCCTTCCTTCCTTCCTTCCTTCCTTCCTTCCTTCCTTCCTTCCTTCCTTCCTTCCTTCCTTCCTTCCTTCCTTCCTTCCTTCCTTCCTTCCTTCCTTCCTTCCTTCCTCAGGGTTTTAATGATCAAAGCATTTTTTTTTAACAGATTCTGATGAATGCATCTCAGCAGAAAATGATTGTTCTCAGTGGGCTACATGCATAAACACGTGGGCCTCCTACACTTGCATATGCAATGAAGGATTGATAGACCATAACCCAGATAGACCTGGACGCAACTGTCAAGGTGGAGTATTGTGGGAAAATTCACTAATTTAATGACTGATAATATTTGAACATCTTCATGTTTTCTCATGGATGCTTTCTGACCTCTGCAGCAAATGATACAGTGGATTCAGCATCAGCACCAGGAGTTTCTACTAGAATGCACTTTACAACTGTTCCAACCTTTGTTCAGTCCACTACCACCTCTATAACTACCAACTCTACCTTGTTAACTAGTGCAAATGCTTCTCCCATTAACACTGAAACCCTGACAGCTGCAGCTGATAATTTCCCATCAACAGCAGATCCACCGATGACAGTCTACACTGCCTCTGCAGTTACTGTCCAAGCAAGTGTTATCGCCCCAACTCCTGTTGTTAATGTTCAACCAGCAATCTCCTCTACAGCTTTCACCAACACCCCAAGAATTACGTCTATGCAAGCAATCCCTTCTACCAATCCAATGACTGTCACTCCCATAACAGCTGTTACTGGATCTACAATCAGTACAACAGACATCATAACTCCTATCCAAGTGATCTCTCCTGTTGCTCCAACAACGACCACTTCAACTACCTCTACCACAAGTCCCTCTTCTATGATGCTAACAACCCCTTCTTCTGCTCTGAGATCACTGGCTAATTACTCTTTGTCAGGAGCCCTTTCAGTGCAGTGCAGAGTAGCTGCCATTACTGTGACTCTTTCTAAGGCTTTTATGTTGAGAGGAAACATCCAGGAGGGTGCTTTGTACTTGGGAATGCCAGGATGTGGGGTCAACGGAGGCAATGTCAGCCATGTCCAGCTGACTGTGGCGTGGGATGAGTGTGATACTAGGCTTGTGCATGTAAGTCTCATTTACCTGATTACTGGATAAACCCTATAGCCCCTGTCACACCTTGACGATTTAGCCAGCGTATGCCCGACGTCCCAGAATCTTCAAAAATGTTGACATACGCTGAACTTTCTATGTATTTTTTTTCAGTTTTGGGCGTATACATTACGGGTCAAGAGCATATGTCCAATGACAGCCTAACTTATGCATAACGAAAGGCAGCATAATGTCAATGAAATGTTAAGCCAGTGTCCTGATGGGGGCAGCAATGCGCCCGGAGGCACCCGGCCTGCATACCTTCTCACTCACCCTGTAATAGAGAGGAAGTCTGGAGGAGAACTGACGATTTCCTTCTGTGAACCCCCATTTTTAAGTTAGAAACACATTCGGCGGTCGACTGGAACACGTCAAATATGTTAAAAAGCGTTGAAGATAGGTTCCTGAGAAGTTACGCATTAGTTGCTCATAGGTTTTGGATAAGCTAGACGCCATGACTATGGTTAACTTGCACTTAATATATGTCAAACATCATATTATGGCCCATGTATGGCATACGCTGGCATATATCAAGACCTACTCGCCGTATGTCGATGTGTGCCAGCATGTTTCAGCGTACTTTAGCATGCTCACAACTTATACCTAAAGTACCCATAAGTTATCCAACTAATGCCAGCATTTTTGCCAGATTTTTTCATACATCAGATATACGCTGGCTAACTCGTCAAGGTGTGACAGGGGCTTAAAAATGCAACTTTTGTTTAATTTCTAGAATGAAACCACTTATACCGCATCTGTGACCCTGTTCAACACCATGGATCCGTACACTGCTGAAGCTGGGAGGGTAGAGGTCCCAAGAATCCGGCTTGAAGTCCCTATCATGTGTACCTACATGAAGAGCATGTTGATTTCTGCAGACTTTGGCTCCATGGGGTATGTTTGGCCTTCATTCATGGTGGATCATTTAATATTCTCCAGAAAAAAAAAACATGCAAATTTGCTTAAGCTGCTTTCAAACATACTACAGGGTAATTCATTTTCAACAAATCAAGACAACTTTTCAGGACAGATTAGGGCACAAAACAAATGGATAACTCAACCATATAAAGGAACAGTAACACCTGCAGCACTATTACTGATAATGTTCTTTGTTGCCTTTATGCAGCAGCTCTAAAACAGATGCAGGACAGAGGGGTTGACACGAAGGATGCAGCGATATGAAAATCTTTGTCGATATCGATATCCAGTATTAGTATTAATGCTAAATCTGATAACCAATATTTACCAATATCATTTATCATATATTTCTCCACCTATTGGACAAAATGAATATGAACCACTTCTCTATCCTGAGCTGCATAACAACCAAGTCACATGACCAAATAAATACCACATGACCAATCCCATCTCCTTCATAAAACCCAAACAGCAGTTACATGGAATTAAATATTTGTTCTTTATATCGGCCCAGTTTTAACTATCAGTACGATATAAATATGCTTAAAGATGACGACACTGCAAAACATTAAAATATAACTAAGTCAGACTCTCCTTAAAAATATATATATTTTCCCTTGATTTGAGCAGGTAAGACAATTTGCAAATAAAATTAGATATTTATGTTTAAAATAAGAAAACTCATTTATCCTATTTAAAGTGCATTCTATCTAATAAGGGAATAATATCTAATATCTTATTACAGGACAAAAATACATAAGAGATAAATAAGATAAATAAGAGAAAATTTACTTATGTCAAGAGTTTCTTTTTTTGAGATCAGTTTTTTGCAGTGCAACATTGGCTGATACAAATATTTATGGCTATATAATGTGCATCCTTGTTAGGAACACTCCAATAACCCTTATGGACAAGAAGCTGAGTACAGGGAGGTAGTGAACTGCTTATGACATGGTGTGGAAACAATCATCTGATCCTAAATTTCAACAACACAGGGGAGATGATTGTAGATTTCAGAAGAAACAGCAGGTTAAATCGTGTTCACATTATGGGAGAAGAAGTGGAGGTGGTGGAGGAGTATAAATACCTTGTTGTTCACCCTGACATTAAACTAGACTGAAGACTCAGCTGTGAAGCCGTCTACAAGAAGGGACAGAGGAGATTGTACTTCCTTTGGAAGCTTAGGTCCTTTAGTATTTGCAGCAAGATGCTACAAATCCTCTA